GGGGGGGGGGGGGGGTGGAAGGCATTTTTCTACACGAGAAACATAAAATATCAGCACGGAACTTGCCTCTATCATCTCAGGACAGCTTGTGTAGAGTGATGATGGGAGCAGAACTAGTCCAGGAGAATGTGGGACAGGGGTGGTACTGATGTTAAGGGAATCTAAAATAGAAATTCCAGCTGCTGCTAAAAAGTGCAGCTTCTACATTTTTACAAGAATGAGGCATTAAACAAATGCAAGGATTCACATTCACACAAAACTCTAGTGGACAGTGTTTGTGAGAGTGTTGGATATAAAAAAAGTAAAGAACTTTTTATGTAACAAACACATTACTTACTGGAGTCATCTGGGCATCAATAGCATCCCCTGCCTTCTTGATTGCATTAAAAATACTTCGCAAATACAATGAAACATTGGATTTACTGCTCGAGTTCCCACCAAGCAACATTCCATTCACTAAGGCCTCTACAGTGATGAAGAGTGGACTGCGGAAAGAACGATCACGACAAAATAAGAACTCACGTTAATGATACTTCATTTATACAGCTTAACTTTTTTTAATATCAAGGTGACTACATCACCAGCATAATCAATACCTCAGAAACTCAGCATATATATTTTCATCTCGACAGTCTGGAGAAGGGAAATTAGGGTCATGGGCAATAACATGGATCAAAAACACAACCAGGTATGCAGGGTGATTATCTGATTCTTGTATGGTCGTGGTTTCATGTAGTTGAGCTCTTTTACCATGCTCCCTGATAAATTCTTCCAAGTACTTTAATCCCTGAAGGATATCAGGTCACCAATGTGCTAAATATGATCTAGAAGATGACTTGAGATAAGAAAAAATGACAATGGGTGGATAACAAACTCACATCATTACGCAAATCTTCAATGCAATCTAAAGCAACAAACGAGAAGGCACATGCATATCTACTGGGCATGGCGTGATTATTCAACAACCTGTGTACTTTGCTGGCAAATGATCTACGCACCCAAGGAGAAGGATCCTGGAAAAAGATCAAGTTATCAAGTATTACACTCAAACCACACTGGTCACAGTAACGACTGTGCCTTTCTGAGTCTAAATTTCACAATTTCATAAACCACAGATACTGCAGGAAAATGTTTAAATGACAATAAAGTCATCACTTAATGATAATAGCTTACGTCCTAATCCAATGTCATCACTTAAACAGTAATATCTTGCATGCCCTCGAGGTCGACTAACCTTGGCCACTGATATTGTTAAGCGGAATATCTGGGGTGAAATATGCAAATCCCATTTCCTTGAAAGCCTGAGGACAGACTTCGCCGCAGCTACACAGATGAAAGCCTCATCATGTACACTGAAAACCAGGGATAGATACACCTTGTTAGAAAGCCAAAGAGAACTGAAAGCGCAACAGAGAAAAGCTAATGATACGGGACAAGAATCGTGAACTATCCAAGGGATCTATAAAGAAAGGCTATCCAGTATGGGCTTAACTCTTTTCAGTGCGAGTGTCTGTAAGCCAGTTTATATGACCAAAAAAAAAAACTGAAAAGAAAAACGCATGTCAAGATATAATGACCTATCCAAATGTACAGTTGAAGTATGAAAAGAGCCAAACGAGATAAGACAGCTTATCTAGATTAAATCGACCAAAAGCCTCATTTATATTGCAGGAGCTACTAAGTATCAAACTGGTGATTACACCTATGATCACCTGGGATTACTTTTTCGGGCCCCCAAGTCAAGATAAGAATTATTTATTACCATGAACGGAACATACTCAAAAGAAAATCCAAAGGGAAATAATAATTCTTATGCTTGTCCATCCTCTTTACTTCTCTGATGAACAGAGAGGAAAAAGAGAAGAAAAAGAAACCAATGTAGGGATTTTATGGATCGGCCTTTACAAACTCCCAAGTCTCAAATAGGAAAGGGTTATTACAATTTTTTTCATTGAACACACTTGCAGCAGAAGGCATAAAAAGAATAAAAGTATATATAGGAATGGATTCCAGAATCAATAACATTAGCTCAGTACTCCTGCACTTCATGCTTAGGTTCCCATTCATATAATTGTATGGCAATCCTTCTTCAGCTAAATAAAACAAAATACATTTTGAATATCCTCACCATGGGATACTACCAGCAGGAAATCCACGCTTTTGTAGCATCTGCTGAATAATATCCAGCAAGAAACCAATAGGACGAGTAAGACGCGCATGTTTATGTGGCAGATAGCTTCTGACAAGAGCTTTAAGCCCAAAAATCTGTAAATGACATTAATTTGATTACAAGAAGTCTAATTTGGATATAATTATGACAAGGACAAAAGAATAAATGTTTAAATTATACAATATGCAAAATTCATTCGGTAATAGGTTAAATAAACTTGGACACTACTACTAATCTTAGGTAACAAAGTATATCGACATATTACTCTCAAAAATACAATCAACTTCACCGTGAACACCAACTATCGGTTATGCAGGACCATGAATTTTTCACGAAGGAAGGGTATGTTTGAATTTTTTAATAATAAAATCCATTCTAAAACTTTTGATTTTTGCTATGCACATTGAATTTGTACCTTTAATTTACATGAACTGCAACAGTTTGAATCCTCATTGAAATTCTCAAGATCCTTGGAACTGAGAGCCTATTACCACAGAAACAACACAAAGGTTGTGGCATGAATAAAGCAAGATAGCAATGGTTAGAGTAGTACCACGGGAAATTATGAATAGTGTAGAAAATTACATCATTTGGCCGAAATATTTTCTCAACAATGTAATTTGTAATCACTTTTTCTAGGTCTTCAAATGATGGAGGCGAATGTTGTGCCAAGCAGCCCAATGACTGCAAAACAGTTGGAGCATTCTGTCCATTGCATAGAGAATCCACGAGCGTCTAGAGACAAGAACAAGAATTTAAGTAGAACATCAGGAATTTAGGAGACTCGAACATTACAAATGAATATTTGGATCCAGACTCCTATTAAATACAAATCCTGGTCAAGAGAGCTATTTCTCAATGCATTTTCAATTAGACCTGGTTGTTTATGGTAACATAGTTTACGCAAAAAGTTGACCACCTAGGAAGTAAAGAAAAGCATGAATACACTAATTAAGAGAATATGATGCTAGTGGCCGAAGTGCTACAGTCATACACTCTGTAAGCAAAGAAGGCAGAGTAGAGACGAAAAATAAACTGCTCAATTCAATATTAAAAAGAAAAAGGGAAATAAAACCAAAACAGAAATTTAAAACATTATAGTTAACAATAAGAGTTGTTCAACATTAAAACAGATGAATAAACGACTGACCTTGCAAAGCTTTGGGAAAAAGAACTGTTCAGTACCAGCTAACGCAGCAATTGCAAACACGGCCAATTTAGACTGGGCGCGAGTTCCTTCTAAGCATACCTCCTCCAAGGAAAAGTATACATCGCTACGTATGCAGAGATCATAGAATCACATAACTAAGTACGTCAAAGGTAAACTATTGGCATAAATTAGTACATATAACTTTGATAGACAAAACTTGTGCTATCTTGTAAGTAATTTTCCACTCCTATAGCTTTTTTACCAGTCAATATTTCAGATTGACATGCAGTAGTTTCAGCTGCTACATAAATTTTATTGATTCTGTCGGAGCTAACGTCAATATGAGTGACTTTTTCCCCTATTACCAAAGATTCCAACATTCCACTACAACGATCACTTTTGATACTGAAGTATAGAGAAATCAATGGTATAACCCATTTTCATTTTTACATATTTGATGTTGAGGGTTAGGCTGAAAGTATACATATACATTAATTATGTGTGTTTGCATGAATGACCTCAAGACACGATATATCTGTTAACTCTTACAGACTAAAGGAGCGCCCTGTCCACTTTAGAGATGTCAATAATAGTGATTTCCTGGATCCTCAACTTTATATTTGATTTTATCCGCATAATAACAATGTAACTATCCACTTACGTCGGCATAGATTATTATAATCCACTTATGTTTGTATAGATTATTATAAGCGATAGCATTTAACATAACTTTTACACAAAATGCCTATTGTATTCTATATCTATCATAGGATCTGCATGAAGTACCGACTGCACTTTGTCTTCAAAATACATCTCCTACAATGTCTATAGTAAAACAATAAACTGAGTTTGCAGAGTAAGAAATCCTTGAACAGTAAAGAAAAACTAAGATAACCTGTTCAACCCATATTTTTTCTTCTCTCCAAAAAATAACTGTTAAAAACAGGAAATGAAATGAACTATTTACCTGAGTTTAATAGAAATATGGCTTCCCTCTACAGCTAGCATTTCAAGCAGTTGTTCATTAAAACGAATCTCCCTTTCACGTAACAAATGCTGGAACTGCTGCTCTGAACCTCTAAGTAGTAGGGGAAAGGCACTGATAATTGTCTAGGTAAGAAAATCATCGAACACAAACATTAATAACAAAATGAAAGGATAAGAAAAGACAATATTCGTAAGAATACATCTGAGAAAGCTAATGAAATACAAAATTTCAGAAAGAAGCAGTCTCTGATTAAGCTAATCTGTAGAGAAGCATCACTTACCAAAAGAAGCTGCACCTGACAATCCTTCAAGTGCTTCTTTTCAGTTTCATCAGTAGAAAGACAATCCAAAATGTAGCGGACATGCTCAGAGCTAAATACATTAAAAGAGCACTTCTTGTAAACTAGATGGATGAATTCGGATAGTGCTTTCGGGCCACCAAGTTCTCTCTCACATACATCCTGGAAAATGCATTTTATAGAAAATAAGTTATCTAATTGTAACAGAAAGAAAGGGCACATGAATCAAAGAAGATTAACACATATGATAGCTTCAAGAAATCAATAAGTTGGGGCAATAATTCATACAGTAGCTGTGAAAACCATACTTACTCCATTGCAGAATTACCTAAGTAAAGAGCAAGTTAATATGATGAATTTCACAATATAAAAAAATATAATATTGAGGGCAAGCAACTTGGAGATTATTGGGCAAGCTACTTTGATATAGAGGAGCCAGCCCATAATGTCCTTTAATAGCAAAAGATATTATGACCACGTACTGCATCTTGTTTGGGAACAATTTAATTTCATACATATAAAGGTTCATGCATAAACAAGGGAGCTGATGCACAGCACACGGAGAAAGAACCAATGGAGTGCACATAACATACATGATTGTCACAAGAAAAAGGAAAACAATGGTCAAATCTTTACACTCACCTTCATAGTCTCAGTACAAAGAGGGGTCTGATTTGTCAGAAACTGCTGTAACACAATAAATATTTCATTATTTTTGAGTTCTTTAAACTTCTGAAAGCAATCCTTTGCTTTAGCAGGATCAGGAAAGCATGAAGACATCTTCATAACCAGTGACTCTAGTTTCTTTTTGGCTTGTTCTGAACCATTATCCTATAAGACCACAACCATGCCAACAAAGTAACGGATCAGTATGTTGCAAATAGCAAGTACCTATTAGTAACTTTATGTAATATTATTGTAACTTTGATAAATCAATACAGGATGCCTCGTTGCATGGATTAAAATATACCAACTGAATGTACAAGCTTTTCTAGCCTGATTTTGTAGTAAGAAACCACTGAAACAGTGAAACCACCTTGAATAAGTACCAAAAGGACACTCATTATAATGGCGAGCTGACATAGTATAGAGGTAACTATACTTCAAAATCAAGAAAATGCTGGGTAACTGAGATACGTGCTGATAAATAGAGAGACCTGTATATCGCTAACAAAATCAATTGGGAAACATGAATTTCATAAAACATTAACCAACGCCTAAATCATTTTGGTTATAGCAAAACAGTATATCCTCATGGCCCAGTCAGTACTCCCTCATTGCTTAGTCAAGTATCCATCAAAAACCTACACCATCTTTCTGTAAAAAATAAGAACGGAAAATCTCGTTTCACCATCATTTATGCCACTGGTCAGTTCTACTGTTGTATATCTCCAAAGTCCGAACTGCTCTCACCTCGGATAATTGAGAGATTAAACTGAAGAGCCAAACAAGCATCATGACACTGAAATCTCTTCTGCCATTGATGCCGAAGACCAAAATGACATCTCCATAAATTTCCTCTTGTTGTTTTTCACCCCCGAGCAGACACAAATCCCACCCGTGGACACAACATTGAACAAAAACGAACTCAGTTCTACACCTTTTCTACCATCACGGCCCAATAAAACATAATATTCAGTTAAATACAACTCAAGATCTAAAAGAAGCTAGTCCCCAGTAACATCGCATTTTCCCAGAACCAGTTTTCCATCTAAATTAATGTTTTGATGCCTTGTTCTGTGTAGGTAATTAATAAATGGGCACTGGGATGTAGGTTGATGAAGGCATGTTATAACTATGGGTTAGTTTAACTTGGTGAAAAAACAAAGGGGGAAAGGAGTTGGAATGAAGGAGATAATGGATTCCAAATCACCAAACTGAGCTTTACTATTTCGTGTCTGGGTAATACAATTAAAGTTTTTCCTGAGAGTTGTTTATTCAAATAGCACAGGGGATTTTGGCTACACAGCTAATCCAGTGAGATCAAGCCATTTATGAGGAGAAAAAACTCCAATCCTGCAACCTTAGTAAAGGTACAAGCATATCCAGAAGAAATACAAGCAAAAGAGAAGATAAGCGAAAAACCAGTTCTCATGCTATACCTCCATCCCATTCCAGAGATTTAGGAAATCTTTAAGCCCATCTCGTAGCCTGGCAGAAAATTATAAAATTCTAAGATGTGTGCCTTGAAAAAAACTAGGAAGGTGAAGCAGTCATGGGGGAGGGAAAGAAAAAAGCACCTTCGTTTCTGAGAGAGAATAATTTTCAGTGCCTTAAGATGGGGTAGCTTGAAGAGTGAAAATATAATTATCCAGTGCCTTGTTCTTTCTTCAACTGAAAGAGAAGCCGGGAATAAATCAGCCAGAACAAGCTCCATGCTTTGAGGCCTGGAATTAAAGCAACGCCATAGTATTGCATTTTGTTGGAATAGACTAAAGGCATTAACTTAGTTTTGCATAAATTAGGCATACCTGAACTCCAGACAGTCTTTCTCATAGCAAAGCATCAAAACTTTGCAAGGAATCTCCTCCATATGTTCATTGAGCAAAGTGATGCCTTCTGCACACCTTGTGCAATAATCCTGGTACAGTTCTACCAACTTCTGCAAGGCTTTGCTTCTGACCAAGAACTAAGTAATACGAGAGGATAAATCAGAGACTAAGACCAGAAAAACTCAGAAAATTGGATACCCTTGAGGAGAAGCAAAACCTTCTTATCACGAAGCCTTTTAGATGCTTCATCTATTAAGCCTGTGAACAGGTTTAAGTTAGTCATAGCTAGTTGACACACCACATTCACTGCTTCGACTCTGACTTTGTCATCGTGATCTAATAATCGACCCTGAATGGCAGCTGCACATCTCAGATAAATATAAATCAGGGACGGGTAGGGAGAAACAGAAATATGCAGGAAATCAGGTCACTTGCATTGTGAAAGCTTACAGAGGATTTTAGGAGATTCTTTCACTGAAATATTAGTCGTGTGCATATCTTTAGCACATGAAAGAGCAATAAGTCTGACTTCCGCAGATTTATCAGAGAATCTATTCAGCAATTCACAGCAGACATGTGGATAATCCCGTGCAAACTGATGCCCATGCATTGATAGGAGCTTTCTGATTAAATTGATAGCTTTAATGCGGACATCAACCTGATCAGTCTGCAATTTGCAATAACTTTTCACTGACTAGAAAGAGCCAAAATAAATATTTTGAAGAAAATAGAAACTACACATGAAAATGGATGGGTAGCTGAATGGAATGACAAGAAAAATGAAATGTGTTGGTCAAAATGGAACTATACATGAAAATGCTGAATAGAGAAAAGTATGATATTCATTATGATAACAAGAATTTAATATTTTTTTGTCAGAATCAGTAAAGAAGGAACTACAGACCATTAATTCATGAGTCAGAGAAGGTATTACTGAGAGGAGCAGATGTGGAGAAATTCTGTATATTTCAATAATAATCTCGTGGTAAGATTCTTTAATCACACTCCGAATAGCATCTCTTTCCAGTATGCATGATTTCAGGAAATGACATAAACTGCGCTCCAACTTTTCACCACAGTTTTGCATGACAGTGACAGCAAGTTGATGAGAAGCAGATCCTATACACTGAGTAGCACGAGAGCAACGGAAAGACTTAGTAGTGTAGAATATTCAGTTTGCACTAAAATCATGTCCATGTAAATGCAATACAGAAAGAGTCTTGATGAACCTCTACCTTCCTCTCCTTGATGATATTCTGCAAAATCACATCTATGAGTGAATGAGATGGATTACTTTCAAGAGGATGAGGACCATCCTCCAAAATGCTTGTTATTATTGATGACATTGAATTAATCAAACTTTGAGGATGATCTTCCCTACAAATATAACAACAATGCCAAAATTAATGACATTTGGCCACCCAATGAGAATCCAAAGGGAGTATGTAGGACAAACATTACAAGTGCAGGAAACAAAGCATAGCGTAGAAATAAGCAATATATTCAAAAATTAGGACAAACATTACAACTTTACAAGTACCTGGTATCAAGAGTTATTTGATTTCATTTGTTATACTATCACTAATTCCAACAAGCAAGCAAGAGGAATCACAAATTCTATCTGTACTTCAATAAATACAATAAGTTTCTTTTAGAGGTTTCATTTCCATAGTCCATCTCTTTGATAATTTTAATGGCAGGAATTTGATGTTAATACATTTTCTCATTGTAGTAAAAAAGCATAAAATAAGATATGTAAAAATAACAACAAACAAAATATTATGAAATGCTGGATACGAAAAACAGACCTCGCAACACTGAAAAAGCTTTTGAACATTTTCAGAACCAAATCCTCACATCCAGTATCTAGCATTACCAGACAAAACTGCAGTTTAGCAACAGTCTCCAATAATTTGGCCCTCCTCAAGAAATACGGACTGGCAATGTCATCAAGCTCCTCAAAGATGCTTAAAAGAAATCTAAAGATGTCCTGCAGAAAGACAGAAGTCAGAATGCATATGTCCAAAAAGAATGGGGTACAACAAATAAAATCCATCAGCGTGTAACTTAAATAATCGTACACACACACACACAAAGTAATAATAATGCATATGTAAGAGTCTCACCCTAAAAACTGCAGGGCTAAAATCAGGATTCGGTGCCAGCACCCTTATAATTTCGCAGAGACAGATGCCAACAAGGATTCTAATGTCTCTATCTTTGTGGTCAAGTAGGCCATGCTTGATCAGAGAATCACTAATTGGCTTTACTGAACATTTTAGCGACTCTGAATTCTTCAACTCCTGGAAAGAACTTGAAGCCTGCTGTACCTCAGACTGTTTCATCTCTGAAAAAGCACTTGCAGCTTGCTGCACAGAGTACATCACAAGTCAACCTCAATACCCAAGGGAACAGAAACCTATGTCATAAATAAATCGCAGGGAAACCCATCAACCTATTTCATTGCTCGAAGCACCAAAAATGAAGACTCAAGTTCCAATAAACAGTGTCATTAATGGGGGATGGCGGTTTGCCAGAAATCTGCCATGGCGGCCTATGGCGCCGCCATAACCACCGTCCTTCACAAATTTAGCATGATGGATTGTTCAAAATCTGCCACAACACACCGCCATGGCCACCATTTCATAACACTGAACAAATTTAAAACGTTGAACTACATCATCTCTAGGACATACATTTTGCACTATGCCCAATGGCCTCGTGCTGTTTTGAGATAGTGATGCATGTATGGTAAATAACCAAAAAAAAAGGGATTTATTATAGTTATACAATGTCAATAGCTCAAATAACTGCTAAGTCACATCCAGGAACAAGCACCAAAAACTGGGAAGCATTGGTAAAACCGATATTTCTGTAACTGAATCTCATTGAAATGTCATATTAGTTGACAGTTGTTCATGTTGCAAATAAGATATAAAAAGATACTTCATGCCTCCACTTACATTATAGCTTGTAGCTGCGTAAGCAAACACCACATAATGCGAGCAATTTTACAGAAATAGACGACACTAGATTTAAATAGACGACCCTAGACTTAAATAATGGCATGCAGTCAACAGAAAGTCCTTTTACTTAGCTTGCTTTGCCCGACTGTAACACCAGTCTCAGGGATTTGTGGAAAGGTGAAGCAAATCAAAGGAAGAAAAACATATAAAATCACCACACAATAAAGTACCCCAACACCATAGAATCATAAGCACAGCACAAATCAACAAAAACACACGCAAAACATGCTGAAAAAACAGAGAAACAACCCGAAAACCTCGTTCTGTCAATAATTTAACTGACAGATAAAACATACAACATACAGCAGTAACTACATCTTCCATTTTCTTCCCTCTTTCCTCAAATTCAGTCGGTGAAAATTCATCATCGCGTAAAATGCTTGGTAAATCAAAATACGAAATCCAACAGCAACAGAAAATTAAAGAAGCAGCAAAATTCAAAGACAGTGACCTAGACATATGGAACAATTAGCAGAACAAACCAGTTTACCCATTATTCGGGGCATTCAATTGCAGAATTTTACCTTGAGCAATTTACCGAGCGTGCTTTTGTTCGGGCAAGTTTTTGAGCTCGCGAGTTGTTTGCCGATTTGCGATATCACTTTCTCGGCCTCCTCCTCCTTCTTCTTCTTCTCTGCCTCGGCCATTTTCGGCGCGTGCTTTGCGTGTTAGTGTGTGCAAATTGTTTGTGCTTTAGGGTGTGCTGTGCGCACTGTACGACAGTGTCAGAGTGTGTGTGTGTGTGTGTGTGTGTGAGAGAGAGAGAGAGAGAGAGAGAGAGAGAGAGAGAGAGAGATTGTTGTTTGCTTTTGCTGTGAAAAAAGATTCCCGCCTGAGCGCAGATAATAATGCTTTGGTCACACACTGACAGAGGCGGTTAGCGTGAAGGTGTGAGGGCATTTCGGGTAATGAACATTGACCCCGATTGGGGTGTGTTTGGTTGTCATCTATATATATATTAAAGCAAAGCAGCTCAAAATTTCCCCCCAAAAACTACATTTAATACATTGTAATAACTTTTATCAATTTCTATGCATGATTTATCAACAAAAAATATTTATGTCATATAAACAATTAATTTATATTGTAAATGTATTGGAATTTGCACTCCAATTTTTCTTGACTAAATAAATGCTTTAACTTCATCTATTACCATGAAATAAATTTTGTTAATTTCTATGTATTATTTACCATTCAAACAATAACATAAATGTGTGTTACATGTAAATACTTATTTTAGTCATAATCAATTATTATACAAATCCCAATTATATATATTTTTATAAGGGCAATGCTATATGTACACCCCTTTTTAATAAATTACACAAAGGGCAATGCTATATGTACACCCCTTTTTTACACACAAGGGGGTGTACATATAGACACCCCCTTTTATAATCAATTATTGTTACAAATAATGTTTAATATTATACATAATTATTTATTATGAATTCTCATCTCAATATCTCACTTATTATTTGTCTCACTTACAGTTTGTGAGTATGAGTTCCTTTCCCTTTATAGTAATTTTTATAATAATAAATTATCAATCTTATTTAATTAATCACTAAAATAAAATTCCAAGTCAAATATTTTATTTAGTTATTATTATTTTTATTGGAACATCAAACACAATATTATATTTTCGGTTATATTGGATATATTTCAAGGTAAAATAGAAAAAAACAATAACTAATATGATATCTATATGTAACATATGTTTTCATAAAAATATTTTATAGTAGCACCATACCACATTTGAAACATATACTCTATATTGATGGAATTTACATACACATTAAGAAAATATGTAATCATTTCTTATTAATCTAATATTGTATAATTTTATATCTTTATATAATTCTAAGAAATTACAAGTGATCATTAGTTTATTTGTATTGAGTACATCATTCCAAAACAAGTAATTTAAATTGTAAAATATCTAATCATCCACAAACTCTTATATGAGCTGAAGTAAGAGTTAGTCAAGACAACATGTCATTCTTTTTTAACAAAAATGTGAACTTAGACATCCAACACACTTTGTATATTTTATTTTATTATATATTTTTTAAGTAATAAATAAAATAAAAATAGAGTGAAATAAAAAATAATGATGTTATATTTATCATATATAACATAATCTATTCGACTAAAAGAGATGTATTTTTCAAGAAAAAATATCATATCCATATGAAATAGATCTAAAAAATGTTGAATAACCTTAACTTGAGTAAAAAAAAAATATAAAATGGTAACATAAAGAGTGAGGGGTCTCAACAACAACAAGAGAGTTAAAATAAGTATTTATATAGTTTTGACTCAGAAGACAAAAATGATCATATTGATTGAATATATCTGATAACCATTTGTTTTATTTATTTCATTTGATCTTTAATTTGAGGTAACATAAAAGTTGGTGAAAAGTGACAACGCTTAACTTTTATAATAAATACACAATTATACAGCTTAATTTTTATAATAAATACACAATTATACAGCTAAAAGTTTTATAATAAAAGTAGCATAATGTGTCAATTATTGTTTAACTTTTGTTTATAAACAATTTTTTTTTTTTTAAAATGAGAGATTGATGAGAGTATATTATCGCAACTGAATGTTGTAGTGATAAAGTTAAATACAACTTATTATAATGAATCCACTACTTTTTTCTTATCATATATCAAAATGTTAATTTCACAATAATATGTTTTTAATATATTTTATATAGTATAATTTAAATTTACTTTTCGTATTACTTTACAAAAAAGTTTGTCAATTTTTATTTCTAAAAATTACATTAAATTATCGTTTTCACCGATTTCCTGGAAAAATAAGTACTTTAATATATTACAGTTCTCATTACTTGCATGCAATAATAAACATAATAATAATAATAATAATAATAATAATAATAATAATAATAATAATAATAATAATAATAATAATAATAAGTATTTTAATAAATATACAATTTTACAGCAAAAATTTTATAAATAGAAATAGCATAATGGGCAATTATCTTAATTTTTTCCATATCAAAAGTGTTTTTTTTTTCCATAATAGAATGATGAGATCATAATATTACAATTGAACGTTGTAGTAGATAAAGTTAACCAAACTTATTATAATGCATCAACTACTTTTTCTTTATCATGTATCATAATGTTAATTTTCTTTTATCTCTTTTAGATTTTATATAATATAATTTCAATGTTTTTTTTTTTTTGTATTATATTACAAATTTTTTCGAAGTGTTTTACTATAATATATTGAATTATAATTTTCAATGGTTTTATGCACAAATAAGTATTTAATATTACATTGAATTATAATTCTCATGAATTTCATGCAAAAAATAAATATTTTAATATTAAGTTAATGAGTCTATTTATGACTTTATGAAAAATGATCAATCTTTCACGTCATTCTGTAATCACCATCGCACTTAATTTATGAAAAAACGAAGTTGAGATTTATTTTGTTAATAAAAAGAAAAAAAATATGTAGACTTAATTTTAAATTAAATACATGCAGATAGAAGTTATTTTAATTTTTATTAGATATTTAATTTGTATTTATATATTTTAATTTTTCATCTTCTTACATGTTAACATTAATATTCAATATTAGTTTATTTGTACAATAGTAATCATGACATTATCTTCTTTTTTGAACTATGAAAATTATGTTATCACATATACATTTTTATAAAAAATTTTGAAGAAGAGTCTTTAATGTGACCAATTTTTGTTTTTTTTTTTTCATGGTATATCACATTTTTGTAAGCTTAAAAATTTAATTTTAAAATTTTTGAAAACAAATTATATTGGATTTTATAATTTCTTTTTTTATTAATTGTTATTGTTTCTGGAGTCACAATCCATGTTGTCTAATTATTGTTATTACTATTGGTGATACACAGTTCACTTTCTATTGATGTTGTATTTGTGGAAGTATTTTTGAATGGATTAATAAAAAATTATTCTACATTATCTCAATAAACTTTTTAAAAATATTTTTTATTAAATTTTCATTCATTCACACCATATTTAATATTAGGCCGCGCAACGCGCGGGTAACGTACTAGTAAATTGAGATAGGTCGATGGTAATGGGCGCGAGCGGGAAAAAAAAAAGAAATTTTCGTCTTCGATTTTGGGGAAAATATCGAAATTCATTGAATTGTGCGAGTTATTAGGAAAAAATCATTATTGAACACAAGCTATGTTGGTATTTTATTTTTGGTATTTCATTTTGATGTTATCAATACTTGATATTTACAATGTATAAGACTATAAGTCAATGTTATTCTTTTTTTTTAACAGTAAAATTATATTAAAAACGTTGAAAACCACAATTTAGAAACAGTTACAATAGTTAGATCCATCAGCTATTAAATTGGATCTAGGAGGACTATGTAGCTTAGAAATACTAGCACTAACACGAGCTAAATTGTTGAACAAAAAATATTCTACTTCTCGCGAATAATAAAATACTACGTAAATGAGATTATATGATCATAAATAAAAAAATAAACATTAGAAAGCAATATAAGAATATTAGAATAAATTATCCTTTCTTCAAGTGAACATGTCGTAATCACCAAGTCGCCCATAAACCTTGAGTCGTCAATAATTGCCCTTTAAATAGGCCACCATCAATACTCGTCGTCGTCCACCAACATACCTTAAAATAATCCATTTAAATCATGAAGCAAAAACGAAGTATTTGAAACCAACAAACATGAAAACTTTAGTTAACACAAACGATTAGTTGAATAAAATAAGCGTGAAGGCAACCATAAAGATGACGTCGAAAGATCAAGGGAGATTTGTATCCTAAGGAGACGCTAGTCTAAACCAACTATCGATAAAAGGTCCCAACATCAACCTTGTGGTCAGAAGATGGGCTAGAGATACGTCGTATAGAGGCATTGTTGTTGGATTTATTTATTTTTTTCTTTCTAAATTGAAATTAAAAGTTGTTCAAAACTTATTGAATATTTTACTATTAATTTTCATGAAAAAAACATTATTTTGATGAACTAATACATTTTTCTTATATAGTCAGTCTTATTGTTGTCACCTCACGTCGGTAGTGCATAGTGCTCTTCGTGCGATAGCCAAACATTTAATCGCCGATTTTTTAGTACTCAGATTGTCCAATTTTTATCTTATGTTGTTTCATTTTCATGAGTTACAATAACTCTTTTATCAATTTCCGTTTATAATTCCACTTGGTTGTTAGTATGAGCTTAATGTTTGGCTTTATTTCAATTGTGTTCTTCATATCTTCAACTCACATTTCAATTTCCCAAGTTTATTGCCTTTTTTAAGAATTGTTTATTTTTATTAAATTAACTATTTGAACTAAACTTCATTATAATAGACGAAAAATGTCGAGAACTAAAAGTGTAAACATCGGATAGCAAAATTGAAAAACAAGCATTTTTATTTGATTTTGTTATTTATTTATATTTATATAATAATTCTATTTTTGTCCTGCCTTTAAAAACAGATATCAGTTAATAACTTGTCATCGTTCACCAAACAACTCCTACGAAGGGAACACCAGAAGCAAATCGCGGCCAAAAAAGCAAAACGGAAAATGACCAGCAACGCCATCAACAGCGTTGTCTACGCCGCATTCGGCTTTCTGTTGGCGAGATCGGTGGTGCAGGGCCAGTCGATCAAGGCGCTGGAGGCGTATAACGAAGTCCTGCTCCAGGAGAACAACCTCCTCAAAGACCCAAGATGGGACTGGATGCAGAAGCTCTACGCAGAGGACGAAGAAACTCCCCAGAATGCCCCCGTTCCCATCTCCACTCTCAAGTCTCTCGACGGTGAGGCTGTCGCCGCCCCGACCTCCGACGTACTTGTCGGTAAGTTCACTTCTCCCTTTTGCTCGCTCGGTTGCTTGTGCTGCTTTGACTTGTTGTCAGTTGTGCAGTAAGAGTAGTACCGTGAGGTACCTCGAGCAGAAACAGATCTGATAGTGTTGAAAATATTTCAAAGGGAAATTACTAAGGATGAGAAATGTGTTTATGATTTGATGGATTGTTTGTTCCTGATTGTGAGCTATATATCTTTGGTAGGTAGTTTTTTGGTGCTGCTTTCATTTGTTGCGAGTTGTGCAGTAAGAGTAGTACCGTGAGCTTCCTCGAGATGGAACAACTATAGAAGAGTTGAAAATGTTCAGAAGGGAAATCACATGGATGAGAAACATGTATATGATTTGATTGATTGTTCATTTCTGATTGTGAGCTTTGTCTTTTATTATAAGCAATTAGGTCTGCAAATTCTTAACAGCTATTCAAGTTTTCTACGTGACGGGCTCCACGACCCCGTGTGGACAGCTCGGTCCATCAATACGATATTGTCCCTTTTTCGGGCCAAGCCCTCATGGTTTTGTTTTTGAGCTCTAATCTAGTGGAGATGTTTAAGCTATGAATGCTTTTCCTTGCATTTTCTAGTTTGAAGGTTGATACGTGTGAGATTATGGTCGTGTACATCTCTTCAAATTGTCTTCTAGTCGATCCATGTGTCGGCTGTTTTTTTTGTGTTGATAGTAAACTAAGGTCTGCGTGTGCTTGGCGGAAACTGCAATATAATTATCACACCATATATGGTGTTCATGTGTTGTATTTTTATCTTAGTTTTCAAGATATTTATATCCGAATTGGGCTGTAATGGGTGTTCTCAGTTTTGTCTAGATTATTTTAGTTGCTTAAGTCTGCCTTTGGACGAAGACAATGCAAACCACCTTAAATGAATCTTGCTTATTTATAACTTTTTTCCTCATTTTCTTCATGCAGGCCGAGATGATAAGGAAGACGGAAAAGTGCCCGTGCCAAAAACCATGATCTAAGAGGTATCTCATAATCTATGGAGTAATATACATTTATTTTGCCTTCAATCTGTAAGCTTATTGAAACTGGGGTAAGCATAGATTTAGCAAGTAATATGTGATATACTTTACAAAAACCCTCTTGAATTACTTCTGGAACATTTTCTCTAGGCAATTGAGTAACTTGCCGTTTTACCAACCCCAACAAGCCTCATATATTAAGACCAAAAAAATTAATATGGGGAACGGGAAAAATTGATAGGGAATTGCAATATTGTAAGGAGAATTCAAAAATCTAGGACAAAGAGGAGAGATTAAAATTTGAAAGACTACAGTAATGGAGATTGGATTTTTTGGGGTTGTGCTGTTGTATGTGGTATACATGTTTCAAATGGTTTGATATGTATTTGATGGATTAACAATCAGCATTTCTTATGGGTTGAGCTATATTTGTTTATACTTTCGAAATGTTGTAGGTAACTCCAGTTGATTTCTCATCACATAGGAACATATAAAATCAAAGTTCTCACCAATTTTAAAGAAATCTACATGCATAAGGGCCCGTATGTGGTTAAATTGATTCATTTTTCCTTTTTCTGTGATAAACGTTGCACATAATTTTCAAATACTTTGGATCTTGTCTATGTGTATTTGTTGCCTGTCTTTCCTTTATTGTATTGATGCCTCAAGTCCTGGTCCTCATTGAATGTTTGGTTATTTGGATAAATATTGAAATTTTTCCAAGCTTTTTAGCCAAAATGCATAAAAAATTCATGGCTTTTTATATTCTTTAGCTATATTGGCTAACTTTTAAAAACACATCCAATCAACCATAAAAATTACTCATCACTGTAAGATTTTCTTGCCTGCATTCATTCTTTCTTTTTTTGTTTTCCTTCTCATTTAGCCTAACCTTTTGGTCGAAATGCAGAGATATTCGGCCGATTTTAAGCTTGGTCACCTCATACCATGCGTCATTAAAATCGAAAGTTGCTCGTTATACTTAGACACGTAGCTGTTAAAAATTCTAACATTGATTTTGTTTCACTTTGTTGTGCAGGGCAGTAGGGATCTCTTTTGAAGGCTTTACCCATTTCAATTTTGATGCACATTAACCTGCAAAATGCTAATGTCTTGTGACGTTTTTAGTATCTGTAAATCGTCATGAACCCTTTAATGGCTTTAGCCTCTACTAGTCTATGTTGACCTAAAAAGTGCTCCCTACGTTGAATTGAACATTGCTATTAGCATGAATTTGGTCCAAAATTCAATTCCTACTCTTTGATATTTGGATATTAGTCGGAGCAAAATTGGGCACACACATTTATTTGCTTTTCTTTTTGGATCTTTCCTGAAATTAAACAATGTCAGATGTCACTCGGACGATGCAATTTACAGGTGTATTCGTTTGGCATTTCGAGTGACATTTTGAGACTTTAAGATTTAAATTTTTTTAAAATTTTCAAATTCTGGATGAATCTTATGATATTTAAGTGTGGTTGTAGGATTTGGAGTGAAATTTCGCGTAAGGTTTTCCCTTGAAATCCCATCAATTTTAAAAAATTTTAACAAATGTTTGGGGGGTATATTTCTTTGCGGTTTCTAAAAACATTTTAAGACTTTGGAATTTTGGTGTATTTAATTTAGATTTTTTAAGACTTTTGAAAATTTCTAGGTATTCATTTGAGATTTTAAAAAGTCTTACAAAATCTTGAAGTATTTTTAATTTATCTGAAACTATGATTTGTTAAGACTTTAAGATTTGTTGGGATTTCTAAAACAACGTTTTTATACGAAATCTTATTTAAAATCACACCTTCAGATTTAAGATTTTACAAATTCTTGTAAAATCTAAATATCTTAAAAAGTATAAACTCTCAAAAAGTTTTCAAATATCACTTGAAAACCAAGTGAATACAATAGTCTAAAATAAGTTAATTACCTTAGAATTTTGTAGGACTTTTTAAAATATCAAATTAATACATTAGAATTTTTAAGGTTCTTAGAAATTTCAATTGAATACACCCTTCAATATGGAGCCATTTATGTAAAAGTGGAACAATAAATAATTACACATATATGATGTTACTAGTACGTACCCCGTGCGATGCACGAGACAGAGATATTAAATGAGTTATTTTCACAGCCTTTTTCATTTAAGTCTAAAAGGTAATATGATTATTATCGATTTTTTTACCTCTTTTAATCAACGTTAAGTCTAAAAAACGATAAGGTTATAAGTTTTTTTCTACATTTTTTAACCAACGTTGTTTTTTTAGTGAGAACATTAAATATGTGCATGTTAGAGATAGCTTGTAAAATAATTAATATATGATCTCACTAAAACATTTATACTAATAAAAATTTAATTATAGCATATAAATTTATCCCTTGATATAAGAGAAAATAACAGTTTTACTTATTATTGTTCACCATAAAATATTTAATTATTATTTTATTATATAATTAAAAGGAATACTATTAAATAGTATAGTAGAATTATTATAACTTTATATGACTTTTTTTAAAAAAATTATTGATTTAATATCTTCTTATGATTTGATAATATAACTATAATATATTTTTAATTATATAATTGTTTACTTTTATAATGGTCTCATAAGTCACAAACATAATGAATAACATTACAAATTATTCATTCAAACTTTTATTCATTGCACATATATTAAAATAGTTTATATAACAACCATTAAATGCCACTTTCAATATATTTATAAATAAAAAGTACATAAAATTTACGGTGTGTTCAATTTAAATAATTTTTTTTTTATGGGCTCAATTTAAAATCATCCAGACATTTGGTCAAACACATAGGTGTGTTCAAATTTAAATCATTGACATTTTGTTCGGTTGATAGTTAAATCATCTACCATGGTACTGTGATGTGTATAATATGTATATATATTATATATATATACAATTTTTTAACAAATAATATGTGCTTTATAAAAATAATAATAATAATTTCACAAGATTTTAAACGTAAACTCTGATTTTAATCATAATAAAAATTCATGGTAAGTTGTATTGAAATGGTGTTATGGGATAAAACAATCTATATATATATATATATTAAAAGCCAACCTATTTACTAATAGCAAGAAAAGTCAACACACATTTAATGCATAACTTATTTGGAATTTTTTTACTATATGTATTAAATGCTTGCATATATACATTTCTTATCCAAATATGATCTTAAAGATTATTTCTTTAAATAATTTTATTAATTTATGCAATGATTTTACTGGTATCCATTATAATTAATATCTATCAATAATTTTTGTAACCTTTATTTAATTATATAAAACTAATTTTTTTTTTTTTAAATTAATATTATTTACCATTTAAAAGATAATGATCACATCATTAAATGATTTTATTGATGGCTAGATAATAAAATTGAAATATATTAGTTATTCTTTCAAATTTCAACGTGTTATTTATTGTGTCTCTATAATGAACTTATTGTAAAATATTTTTCTATTACATAGTATGTTAAATAAACTATAAAGCCTTAGGATGAAAATTTAAAAAAAATATCTTGATTATGTAAGGGATTATTTTTTGGCAATTGCTAAGTCATTTTTTTAAAATTATTATGAAAAAATTGAATTCTAAAAAACACGTGTCTGTATTTTGTAAATATTTATACACAAAATTTTATTTTGAATTTCATTACATAAAGAGACTACTTCTATAACTTTTATAAATAATAATAATGATATTATAAGACTATAAATGTTATAATAAAATAATAATTGAGTATTATATGGTGAACAAGAATAAATAATTTTTTTATTTTTCTTGTATCAATGAATAAATATGTATTCTAAAATCAGATTAATATTAGTTGACGTGTTAGCGAAATAATATATTAATTAACATATTAATTTTTTTGACTAAAATAAACGTCACTTATTAAAAGATATGAAATATAGATGATCCAAACCTATTGTTTTTTTTTTTTGTCTAAACGTACAAGTCCTATGGAAATGATTAATTTATTATATGTATCACGTGCATCGCACGGGCTATGCACTAGTTAAGTAAAATAATTAGATAAAATATTTGATAGAAATAGAATTTACGTTAATTACCTTTAACTTTTCTTACTAATTATTCTAGTAAATAGAATGACTTTTTATATAAGTATAGATTAGCTGAAAAATTAAAAAACACAAATTGGAGGCATAACATTGTGCTGTATTGATCACGCCACATAACGAAAATTCGACCTAAACAAATCAATTGGCATTATTGGGATGCATTTCCTCAAATGTTTCATAATTATAACTTTTTAG